TACTTGCCATCCCTGAGAAGAATCAGCCGGCTGCTGGACGGTGAAGGGATGGAGCTCCTCTACAAGGCAGAAATTCGCTCTTAATTCGAATAGTCTTGCCTCGCGTGAGAAGGAGCAAACATCACTAGCCTCAAAATCATATGAATAAAAGAAAGAGCGAAGAAAATCAAAGGACCCAACAGTATCAACCAAACCCCAACAGCCTTCAACACAGGAGAGACGTAGCTGACTTGACGACGATGTTCCTTATCCATCGCCAACACGTCCCGTACCTGCAGCCAATGAGAGTGCCAGGAAGACGAGCTGCACGCCCCACGAGAACAGTGGAATGAGCTCCGGTCGTACTGGAGGAACCTCGTCACACTACCAGCCACAGTTTCTCTCCAGATATTCCAAATTATAGAATCTATTCATTTCTGTCATCGATGTGGAAGCTCAGTCCTTACAATCTTTTATATGCAAAGCACATGTGTGGCTAAATACCACTAAAAGATAATTATATGATTTGTATATTATGTGTTATAGTTCATGAGTACGTGACGCAATGAAATGTGGTTGGACTTTGAAATGAGTCACTAAAATGAATTCCTTTAGTCTGTAAAAAAAGGTTTTGACTGTAATATGAGACTGAGAGATAGATAGATAGATAGATAGATAGATAGATAGAGAGAGAGAGAGAGAGAGAGAGAGAGAGAGAGAGAGAGAGAGAGAGAGAGAGAGAGAGAGAGTAAGTAATGAGTGAGATTATGTGACTTGGGTTCCTTGCACAGTTTGCAATGGTGATATGAAACAGGTTTTGCATCCAAAACTGCATCCTGTACATATTGTATAGTGTACTGATATCCTATGCGTAGCCTAGTTAATGTAACCTGTTGCCTCCGAGACAGTCCGTGATAGACTTTATAGGGCTTGTCTAAATTTGATGCCCCAACAATACTCTCGTAGTGCCAGATAGTACCATGTCCGTCTTTTTTCATTTTTTCATTGGTCCATACCTGATCCTCATAATCTCTAAGACAGTTGATAACTCGTTTTTTTCATTTGATTGAAAGATAGCGGTATTACATAGTATGGATCTTCATGGGAAAGTGCTAACCTGGCTAATTGATCAGCCCTGTCACATAGTGATATTCCTATATGAGAAGGTATCCAGTATAGTGACACTTAGGTACCCCGTTCTGATAACTTAGAAATTTGGTGAAGGATATTCTTAGTTACCATGTTTTCTGGAGTAAATGTTGTAAGCCTGTTAAGAGCGCCTTGGCTGTCTGTAAAGACAGCCAGGTTTCGCTGCTGTTCACTACCTTTCTTAATGACATGGTATATAGCTACTGTCTCGGCATCAGTTGTGCTTGCCCAGTTGGAGATGCACTCACTTTCTTCAAGGTCTATATCAGGAATTAGCACACCAATCCCTGTTGCCCTATGCGGACCAGTGGAGGCATCACAGTAGATTGCAAGTGGGGGCGTACCATGAGGGGGATGTAGAATGCCATCTATATATTCCAAGTAGTGAGCTTTTAGTTCCGTTTTTGAAGCCATAGATTTAGACCCTATTAGTTTATCAATATGAGCATGTACATGAGTTCTGTGCCAAGGAGCAGTAAGTACTGTATCTGGAATATTAATAGCTTCGTTGTTCCATACATTGAAGAGCATGATAGTATGAGCAGTTTTAGTTTTCCATTCTAAGTTGGACTGTATGAGATTGGAGTATCGAGGCCGGACATGCCTGACTCTATAATTTATCTCACTTAATAGGATACTAGAGATTTGTGGTCTGGGTTGAAGCTGCAGGAGCCTGATGCCAAGTATGGTGTTGATTTGGATGACACGACTGTGAATAGAAGGGAGATTTAACTCATTACGAGAACTTTAGCAGTCACTGGGCATCCAAGTATAATTCTCATTGCCTTATTCTGTAATACTTCAAGGGGTTTGAGGGCACTCGGTGGCAGCATACTAAGAACTAGGTTTGCATAGTCTATCATGGACCTAACAAGGGAGATATACATCAACCTTAGGACTCTCAGGGAGGCACCTACATATCTGTTACTAATGTATTGCAATGGTCTTAAACGTTTAATGCAACGTTCCTTGATGTGAGTTATGGGACATGCGGTGGGGAGCAGCCACCATAACACCAAGATATTTGTAGGTGTCAGTTCTTGCAATAGTCTGTCCACCTAACCTTGGAATGTAAGGTAATCTACGAGATTTGGAAATATGCTTAGTTTTGATTGGGTTGATTATGAGAGCAAGAGAGGCTCACTTTTTGCTGAACCTGTGTAGAACGTAATCCCCCCTATCAAACACCTGAATAAGAATGTCATCAGCATAGGATGTGATGCTGCATAGGTTTCCTAACTCATCACTGAGCTTGCAAAGAGAGTGCATAAGTATATCAAACAGTGTTGGGGACAACACTCCCCCTTGTGGAGTGTCTAATTCCAATTCGCCATAAGCACTATAGATGCCTTGATACCACACTTTTGCTCTT